TAATCACACGTCATCACGCTCCGCTCATCACGTGCTGCCCGCCACGGGGCGGGGCAGGTCAGGATGTACCGCACTGACGATTGGTGTGCCCCTTCAGCCCCGCCCAGGTCCCCCCGCGCCAACCGCCCTGCGCTCACGGCGAGGCCCCCTCTTGGCCCCGCCCCCGAGGCCCCCCCGCTCCCCTGGGGTCCCCCGGAGGCTCCGCGGGCCGCGAGCGGCTGCGCGACCCCGGAGCGGCGGCGGCGGCGCCGCGGGTGGGGCTGCCGCGGCGCTCCCAGGGTGCCGAGCGCGCCTCATTTGCATAGGGGCGGGGCGCGCCCGCGGTCTCCGCGGCGGGTCCGGCGCAGTGCCGTATTTGCGGGAGGAGAGGCGCAGTACCGTATTGCCTGCAGTAGAGGCGGGATACCGTATTGGCAGGAGCAGCGGCGCAGCCCAGCTTTGCCTGCATAGGTGCGCGATACCGTATTGCCTGCAGTAGAGCCTTAATACCGTATTGGCAGGAGCAACGGCGCAGCACCACTTTGCTGCATAGGTGCGCGATACCGTATTGCCTGCAGTAGAGGCGTGATACCATATTGGCAGGAGCAGCGGCGCAGCACCGCTTTGCTTGCATAGGGGGCGCGATACCGTATTGCCTGCAGTAGAGGCGCCATGCCGTATTGACTGGAGGAGAGGCGCAGCACCGCGTTTCCTGCACATGGGGCAATACCGTATTGACGGGAATAAAGGGCAATACAGTAGAGGCGCAAATCAGTAACTACAAGACCCTTTATTTTGCRGACAAAAACGCTGTTTTTGGGGGTGGTGGCGGCGCTGGGGTCCCTACACCCATCCCAGGACCTTCGGGGGGCAAATGGGGAGATTTGGGGTCCCTCCATCTGTCCACGTTATCCTGGGGGTTGTCCCGGCGTTTTTCCCGGGCTCCTGGTGTCTTTTCTYGGGGTGTCACCCAATTCGAGGGTCCTTCTGGGGGTGTCACCTGGATTCCAGGGTCCTTCTCAGGGTGTCCCCTGGTTCAGGGGTCCTTCTCGGGGTGTCACCCTCACTGGGTGTCCTTTCTCAGGGTGCCACACGATTCTGGGGTCTTTCCCACAGCGTGACCCAGTCCGGCTGTTCCTTCCCGCAGCGTCACCCTGTCCGATTGTCCTTTCTGGGGATGTCACCAGCGCTCCAAGGTCCTTCCCCTGGTGTCACCCGGTCCAGCTGTCCCTCCACATGGTGTCACCTGGTCCAGCTGTCCCTTCTGGCAGTGTCACCTGGTCTTGTTGTCCCTCGGCGCGGTGTCACCCGCTCCGGCTGTCCCTCGGCGCGGTGTCACCCGCTCCGGCTGTCCCTCGGCG